GGTATGGTATCGAACTCCTCCCCACAGTGTGGACAGCTGCAGCACACCGGCTTTGGATCCTCATAGATATTCCAAGTGGCTTCTGCTTTGTACGACACTTTCCACGCATAGATGATATCCTAGAAAATAAAAAGCATCTAAGGTTTTCATCAATACAATCAATCAAGATTTGGTACTGACTGTGCGCGAGCCAAAGATTAGAGCAGCTCCTAGAGGTACTAGATATCAAGCATTATTTTGAGAATGTCAAATAGGGGGGAACATTAGACAGACTGATTGGTAAGAGTATGTTCCATTTATCATTTGTCGTCCCACTGCTGAAAAGCCCACCAATGTTGAGTCTACAGAGTTCTCAGCGATCATTGTTACTCGAGAAGCAAAGGAGAAACCCACGCGAAAGCTCCGAAAGGGAAGATTGTAAAGATAATGATCCGCCCAAACTTGTACCATGCGAAAATAGAGATTTCGCCGTCAGTCACCTTTTTGAGTGTTACCCAGTTGCGGGAAAGATGCATCGAGAGCAATACTAGGGACGAGCAAGTCATATCGGTTGTGGTTCAATATTTTGAAAAGCGATGTCCACCTTCGAACACCATCATTCCTGCAGTACCTAGACCAATCAGGATTGCGGCTGTGGTACGTCTATGGAAATGATTATGAGTACGTTTGCAACAAGTACTTTTGTACAAGTGAAAGGAATGAGACTAACGGGACATGACTTGTTATATGGCAATAACGACGTGTAGAATCAATTGTGACTGTATTTGGGGACTGGGCCCCAACCTGAGATAAAAACATTGAATGTCAAGTCACTTTGCTGAAAGAACATAATACTTACAGCCAGAGACACGATGAACATGATGCAGGCCATGGCCACAGGAGTTACGAGGAGCTACCATTGCTTGATCATCAAAAATCGAGAAATCAGGATTCAGTGAAATCGATATACACCATGATGTTAATTCGCAGTAAGTACATCTTGTTGGTTGATATGTTCATAGCTAGTCCAAAGTATAGCTATCCCGCCTTTACTAGTTTTATATAACCCGTTCAATGTCTATAACTCACCTGCAGTACATAAGCCCAGCCTGCAAATGAGACTCTGTGAACAGGAACTTCAGTAATACTGATGATTTTGCGGTGCGAAAGCTGACAAGACTGGTGCCCCATAAACTAAAGAAGCCTGGAAGAGGCAGATCCCATATCCAGGTTGAGCAACAGAGCGTTGACCGATTGGAAGAAGTAGCAGGTAAGAAGAAGAGTAAAAAATGCTGGAGGCCATCAAGGCCATCCAAGTAGAAGTTCTAGATACCATTGGGGACAAGAGGGCGGGTAAAAGAACGAGGGTGGTCATCAAGAGACCCACTACATTCATGATGTCGAAAACAATGATTGTGTTGGTCTCTACTGCCGCTGTATTATCACGGCCCTCAAAACCTTTAACGAGATGTTAATATCTCTATCATGCAACTCTAAGCAGAATCTTGCCTGTACCTAGAAGAGACGTCAAGCCTCCTGCCATAGTAGCTGAAAGAAGAGAAAAAGAGAAAGAGTGACCTGGAGCTGCATTCTGCTAGCCTTGTACTGTGTTACTTAGTTATAATGCCACGGTCCATCGTTGATCAGCGTTTACAACGATGATTGATTTGATTGATTTTGCTTGGTTACTAATCAGATCAGATCGTCACGCTTGAGAGCTGTTCATCTCAAGCCGCATGCTCCTTACATCTATGCTTTGTAGGCGAAAGAGTAGACTGTCGCTGCCCTGCTAAGTTCTCACAATGCCTATTAGCTTGAAGACCCGCCTGTTTCTCTCCTATGCTGTTGATTGGTATGGCTTCTCTCCTACCGTATCTGCAAAACCTGTATCCTCGGCTCAGGGTTCGAAAGCAGGCTGGAGGCAGCCAAAGCAGTCCAGAGAGCATGCTGCTTCCACTGCTGTTTACTGCTGTCCAATCCTCCTTCCTCTTGCGAGCATGCAGGTTTTGCAGACCATGTCATTTCAACATGTTTGGTTTTTTTTAACAAATTGCACCTCAACAGGACTATACTCATTGTAGTGGCGTACGTCGTTCACTCTAGCTTCTGGGACAAAGTCAATTATCTCCCCTTCGCAGTCTCTTCGCCCATTTCTACTTGAACCGTCTGCAACAGTTTCCTGAGTTTGACCTGACCGATACATCCATCCAGTATTCAATTAAAGAGGTACAAACAGTTTCGGTAGGTTGACGACAATCTCAAGGCGTTAAAGATTGAATCGTGTTCATCTGTACTGTCATATCAAGAACGGGCTATTGATCGCTGTCTTGGTTATTCCATATTTGTCCATCGTTGCCGGCAATCTCTTGTTCAACTTCCGGGATTGGTGGGATCTACATGCTAGTTTATTGGGCTGTGAGCAATCATTTTTATTTACTCATTATACTCTGATGATGGTTCGTGTTATGCTAGTATCGATTAGCTATTCTGCTTCTGGTAGTTTCGTTCAATTCGTTCGTGTTACTGCCGGAAGGCCGCGGCCAGGTAGTACCCTTTCATATCATTGGATTCTGCCCAGCCTTATCAACGTTTTCCAGACTTCATTGCGAGATGCGATCCAGCTGCAGGCTCCGTGAACAGTGCATTTTTTGGCCTGACGAACATCACAATATGTCAGAGCACGGACTCCGCATTCATCAAGGACGGAATGCGAAGCTTCTTCAGTGGTCATGCCATCCTTTCCGCTGCAGGGCTTGGTTTCATGAGCTTGTATTGGGCTGGGAAATTGCATTTGTTCAATCAAAAGGCATACACTGTGCGTTGCGTTTGTGCGACTCGTTCCCAAGTCGCTGCTTGATAATCGGAACGTAGTACAAAGTGTGGCTGGTCTTCTCCCCACTAATCCTTTCAATCTGGATCTGTTTGACTCGCGTCGCGGATCGCAGACATCACTGGAACGACGTGGCGTTAGGGTTCTTTCTTGGCCTACTTTTCACTTATATAATTTACAGGCAATTCTACCCCTCACTTGGCGATCCAGAATGCGATATACCTTTTCGTCCGAGGGTCATGTCTGCGGAGCCCGAAGATACTCGTGGCGGCTCCACCGGTTTGCGGCTCCCTACTCGTAGGCCCGGCTGGATGCGGCTAGGTGGCTCTGCTAACAGAGGTCCGGAAGGAGAGCTTGAGTCCCTTGGATTCATGACTACCCCTTTCGATTCAAGACACGGTGCGTCCTGTTGCTGGACTCTTGCATCCACCTATGTGCTGACATAGACAGCAGAGAACGGCGCAGAGAATTATCCTCTGAATCGAAGGACCTCAATACCTCCAACAACATCGTGAAGTCCTCTTTTATTACTCTTGATGAATCTTTGTACGCTGTCTCTAAACCACTCTCAATACTTGCTTATCGTGCTGTCGACTTCGTTGCTGTTGCATCCTATATTTCCTGTGTAATTACTTGCCTGTATTGGGACTGTGACTTTGTAACTTAATTATCTTCGAGTAGTTGTGCCAACACCTCTGGCTGTATAACACCGTCGCACGCTGCATGTCTCTCAATAGAGAACAAACAAACCAACTTCTGTATCGAGTCCCTACTGTCCACATCAGTACGGCACATCAACGGTTTTGCCTTCCTTTGCACTCTTCTTTGCTAGTTCAATCATCTCAATGACTGCTGTTGCCTCCTCCCACTTGACCTTTGTTTCAACGCCCTCTCTGATCGCTGCTGCGAGATTACGATACAAATCCGCATAACATCCCGGCTCTTCTGATGGCCATACTGATTTAACGAACGTCGTACCGACAGGATCTGTAGCGTGTTCGAGTGCACCCCAGAGTATTTCGGGTTCGAGACCATAGCCTAATGAGGGAGAGGTGATCAGATTTTCCGGAGTAAGGCTTGCAGTGCTGGTACTAGTAGCGGTGACAGGAACTGCAGTAAGACTCTTAAGTTGCTCTTCCTGAACATCCACGCCGTATTTGATGTAAGATCCTTTCTGACCTAGGACGTTGAAGCGGAGTTGAGGAGAGTGAACGGAAAGGGGGTGAGCGCGGAGGATGGCGGTAAATGGGTATGGCAGAGCAGATTCGGCTGGGTAGTGCATATGAATTGTGAACTGGTGGACGGAATTATCTTGTATTGATTACGAGTTGAGGTATTGAAAGCACGGAGATCACTTACATTATCGTCTACATCAGGATGTCCTACTCCCCTCAAGTTTGATGCAAACGCTGTGATCTTTGTGGGTCGATCAAACAAGCAAAGGGTCTGGTCAATCAGATGCGAGCCGAGGTCGTATATTAACCCAGCAGCTGGACGCGGCTCATCTTTCCATGACCCTTTCAATCCAAGGCGATATCGGTCGAAACTTGTGATGCCAAGATATCAATTGATCATTCACCCGAGGAAACCACAACAACGACAGCTTACTGCGATTCGAACTCAACCACAGTCCCCAAACTTTTCGGGTCACTATCCGGCAGATCCAATAATTTCTTCAACGCCAAAAAATCTTGATCCCATCTGCGATTCTGAAACGCATACAAGACCTTTCCCTTATCTCGAGCTAACTCGCCCAACTCTTTTGCCTCTTGTACACTGGGTGTAACAGGTTTATCCACTAGAACATGTTTTCCTGCTTCCAGCGCGGCTTTGGCTAGAGCATAGTGCGTGTCATTCGGGGTACCAATCAAAACCAATTCGATATCGGGATCGGAAAGGACTTCCTCGAGAGTTCGGTAAAGCTTCACTTCAGCGGAAGAAAGGTGGAAACTGTCACAAACGGTGCCGGAGGGAGTACGGGGATTGCGCTCGAGGACGCCATGCAGGGCAAAGAGCGAAGGAAGACCGAGGACAAATGGGACATGGAAAGTAAGTGTTGCTAGACCTGCACCAATTGCACAGCACTTGATTGGTTCCATGAAAGGAGCAAGCAAAACAAGAATGCTAAGATAGGCTCGATAAGCACCATGAGCATGTGATATTGACAAATGAGAACCTGATTTACGGTGAAGCCGGCGTGGCGCAATGGTAGCGCGTAGCTTTCCTACAGTGTTGGTCAGGCTGAAGTTGCGGGTTCGATCCCCGTCGTCGGTTTATTTCACATTCTGGGATGAATCCCGCTCTCTTGATTTCCTGAATGGATTAATTTTTGTACCGCTAGACCATCCTATATTGCCCGGTGAATCATACTGGAAAAGGGCCTCGTTCCAAGGCACTCACCTTCCTTGCTCAAGACTATCTTATTTGGACTGGAAGTGTCACAACATGATGAGATACTGAGTCTACTCACATAGCATTATTCATCTTCAATCAAAGACTGCAAACTAGCATAATACATATCTTCTCATTGAGCCCGAGATGGTAATTGCGTTGTTGAGAGGCCAAAAGCAAAGCTGAAGCATGTATATAGTGCACTTTTATTGTGGGAAAATCACCGATTTGTTTGTACATATGTACAAAAGACACCAGGAACTGCTTCAATTGTCGGTGGCAGATACTTAGACTTGACAAGGAAGGTGACTTTGCATGACTAGCGCAGGACTTTTCGCCAGATTTAGATAATTGAGTGTTGGCTGTTGGGCGATGAGGTTTGGGAGTTCCTGGTTTCTCCTGGTTTATGGATTCTTGGTTGGTCGAAATGGATTTGTACAGTAGTTAGAAAGTCGAGGTGTAGAGTTTCACGACACGATACAGACCTTGGGGGTGGTACACTGGGACTTGAAAGATGCTACAAAGGGATACATCGCGTAATCTAACTACTTGTTGAGCAATGTTAGAGCAACTTGAATGCGATGCGAATCAATGAAAACATTGATCATTGCGGCTGTAATGAGAAGCAATAGGCGGATAAGTATTAACGAAGGACAAACACTGATAGCATTGCAACGTCCAGATTTGGTGCAATTAGTGGTAGACATACCAAATAGGCGAACAATTGCATTGATGATGATAGTAGCGGGGTGCTTGTCATAAACATGTGATCGTTACATGACTGCAATTTATTAAGAGCGTTCGATCTTCATTGTCCAAGCATTTTCCACTCTTGAGCTCACTCATACATCGCCAGAAATATTCCCACTTGATCATGGAGCAACCACGAGAGAATGTTCTCGCGACCGAAACTCCCATTCCTCAGCAGAAACAGTCTCAGGATCTGCCTGTCGTCGAGAAGACTCCCGCAAGTCACGAAATCACGACCGCCGAAGACGCGGTTCCCCAGCGTGATTCTGTTTTGACCGAGTTCCTCGAAGATGTTAGAGATAGTGTTGTATTATCTCTCGATGATTTTGCAACCCTTATCCTCAACATTTCCGCTGATTGCAAAGTCGAAGAGGAATTCAGCCTGCGACCGGAAAGCAAAATAGTTCGAGATGCTTTCAAAGCGTCTCTGAAAGTTGCGATAGGAGCGGCAGAGGGTGCAGGGAAGAAGGGGACCGACCCCATAGCACATGAGAAGGAGTTGCACCAGCCCCTTAGAAATCTCTTGGATACATTGAGAGATGGGGAAGGTCATCTAGGCAAGGACATCAATGAAGAAACACTCTTTGTAGATCCTCGCCCGGTTTTGGCTTCTCTATTGGAGAGGAAGTCTGATTTGAGTGGGATATACATTCAGCTACAGGAACTCTTGGAAAACAGAAGCCTTTCAGATGACCTTGCGGAAAGAAACATAACTGGGATTTTTTGGGGACTCTTGATATTGTTTGTTGAGGTTGGGTGCCAGAAGAAAGATTTCGTCGAACTGAACATCCGCAAAGAAGGTGAGTCAGCGTAACTATCCTTCACTGCGTGATATTTCACTTACCTTACCATTTGGCGCAGAGGTTGTAACACCCGCAAATAGATCATCACAGTTTATGGTGTCCACTCCATCGCAGCATGGATCAACAGAAGGTTCGCAAACGGCCTTCAGTCATTCGCGATCACCTCCTTCAAGTTCACAAACAGAAGCGATATATCACAAATTGAACAAACGGGTGAGGTCAAATGACGAAGTCGGTCTTACCAGCATAGGTAATTTGTTCATTCATCTCACGGAGACTTGATATCAATACCTATTCAGTCATGCGGCCTCAAAAGAAGGTGAAATTCCGGTCCACGTCGCAGTCTAATTCGCAGAGCTTGAGAGGGTCTAAGAAGATACGGAAGAGCACAGGTGAGGCTATATCATACCTTGTGCATTCAGCTTGGAATTGAGCCCATGATAGAGGATTGCCCCGCTTCTGTGGGCCGCACACAGTCAGATAACTTGCCCGCTACCCCGCATCCAGTATCCCCGCACAGTGCTTCTACTCTAGCTTCTGCACCCACCAGTCTGCTGTGTGAAGACGAAAGTAGACTTCACGTTAACATTTGGAGTGAGGACAAAAAGAAGACAGTGGAGATCGCGACGGTGCAGGAAAAGTCTTGGGAATCATATGTAGTTCAGGGTGTCGAAGACAAGGTACGTGGTCGTGGTAAACAATTTGTTCCTTCCCTCCGGCCCGATTTCACTTCACATTTTTTTCTCGCATTCCATACTTACTTGAACATTCTCTCACTATAGTTTTCTTTCCACGTTCAGTCCTCCAAGAATGATGAGTGGAAGAAACTTCTCATTGTCATGGTCTGCCAGCTCAAGAAAACCCCTCGTACTACGAAAAACGCTGGATCCATTCCAACTTTGTACATAGATGGCATCGAATACCTTCAAGATCCTGAGCTGTTCTCACATACGTTCGCACTTGATACTCAAGACTTGATCGACGCTATCTACTCTTTTGTTGGAACCGATGGGTGTTCACGGAAGGTCGTTATTGAGTCAATTCTCCATCATGCGGAGGACGCTGTTGGTTTGTACGCAGTCGTTGCTGAGGTGAAATGCCTCTGCATGGAAGCTGACTGTACATGGAATGGGGAGAGGAAGATCTTGAAGATCAGTTTCATGGGCACGGATCAGCAGTCAGAACAAGGACTTATTGGGGAGGCTAGATCGAAAGCAGAATCGACTGGAGAACTCTGGGCACTCAACCATCTTCCAAATGCCATCCACTCACTCAGTCTGCTCCCTAACAAAAAGAAAACGTTTCACAGACGTTTCAAATACGAGGAACGAGTGATGCATGTCACAGTTTTTGAGAAGCTTCATCCGCTTTCCGAGCTGGAAGATCCAAAGGATTTCGCGCAGGTATTTTACGACATTCTACAGAGTAAGCCTCCCTTCAATTCAATGTATCATCATCTCACTAAGCCTCACATGTCATCTAGTTCACCAATGGCTTTATGAATGTGCTGGGATTCTTCATCGTGATCTCAGCTCGGGTAACATCATGTTCAGACGCAAAGAGGGTAGGATTTACGGTGTCTTAAATGATTTCGACCTTTCTTCTCGCATTGAAGATTTGAACAAAAACCCGACATTCAATGTTGTCAACCACACCGGCACTAGGCCGTTTATGTCGTACGATTTGCTCAATTCTAGCTGGAAGGGCGGTCATCTGTATCGCCACGATTTGGAGTCCTTGTTCTACATCATCCTTTGTCTTGCCTGCCGCTACCGCAAACCTGGAGTCCCCGCCGACGAACCTAGGGCTTTTTCGAAATGGTACAGTGGCAGTGACAAGGAAATCTGTGGCGAAAAATGTGTCTTTCTCTTGAGCCCTTACACTAATCTCCCTATCCAACCTTACTTTGCAGGGTTCACATCTTGGCTGTGGCTACTTTTCGAGGATATTTGTGTTGGTTATAAACGACGACCAGTTTACCGGCTTTCGACTTCAAAGAAATATTTAAAACACTCCGATGATGGTGAAGGCCTGGGCTTTGACTGGACAACGTTGAACAAATGTGTTACCTACGCTAGAATGCGGTTGATAATGTCCTCATTCGAAGGGCAAAAGCTCGAGACGCGGTGGATAGGGAACCAGGATCATTGAAATTTCTTTCTGATCTACATGTTTTTCGTTCTAATGTTACTGTAGTAACTTGCAATGTGTTCAACCGTTATTCATATCTGTAATTTTTGTTGTAGGAATACTCCCCTTACGACGTGTCCGTAGACACTCTTGCTATGATCATACTGCTCCCATGCGATTTCAGAGCCGGTTCTCAATGCTACTTTTCGAGTGATGTGTATCATTAGGTTGTGAAAACTAGTGGGCAAAAACTGAAAAACAATAGAGAGTATATGGATAGAAATTAGAATCAATTGAGTGCCTTGCCATCAACGACATCTAATCGTTATATATGAGTCACTTATGCACGTCGGAAACTACTTAGTGTTTCAAGAAAGGGTGAAGAACAATAGAGAGTTGAGATGGCACTATGAAGTCAGTTTTCGTGCAATAATGTGTGCTTTACATCATTTCCTTGGCGCAATGCCTCGAACAGCACCCATGTCTCTGCTTGATGTTTCGGTCTACTCAAAATAGAAGAGACCTAGTTCTTCGTTTTATATAAACGATGGTCATGTTATTACAATTGGACCGCATACTTATGAGTGTCAGCTGCATTGGGTGTTAGGGCGACAAGTATTGACGTGAATTTCATTTGCTTTTTGCGTATTGTGTATGCTTCTTGTACTCCACCTTCAAGGCCTCTTGGGTGGGGTCTTCACATTCCCTCTCAATGGCATAAGATGGTTACCGGGAGGTTCCGCATCACTTATTGGCAGCATACTGGCAGCTTACCAGCAGCTTCCATCTGCTTACGGAATGGTTACCGATGACTTACCTAGAGCTTTTGCATTACTTACCTATTACTTACTGCTTGTATAGTTGTAGGCTACGTGACTGGATCATCAACGAAACTACCCCAGCAGCGTTTATAGATGCTTAATGTTAGGTTAAGGCAAAGTTTCATACAATCATCTGGGGAAAATGATGCACAATCAAATGGACTTTGCCGAAGAAGATTGCGGTAAGCCGCAATCTTTCTCGGAAATTCCCCTCAACTAGCTGAACAAGCGTACTTGGAGACTAAAAATCCACCATCACTTCAAATGCAAGTATCAGATACAGATAATGTACTAGAATTCATGAGGATACATTGTTCTTGCAATTGCAAGAGCATCGATCCAGAGCCGTACAACTTCTTGTTCCCAGGGAAGGCGAACA